ATACGAAAATCTAATGTGCGTGGGTTACTTACAGTATAGTTCCCATCTTTTTCTATGTAGAAAAAAATAATCCGTCTGCATGTACTTGCGGCTTTGTAAATAAAGGTGCGGCAAAATTGCTAACTCCTTTATGTACTTTTTTAACAAAATACATGAGCTTCGTGTAATCTGTGTGTAATATGTCATCCATTACAAACAGTGCATAAAGTCCAACAACCCAGTATAAATTAATCTGAAGGTAATTAAAAATAACGGAAATAAAAAGTATAAATTTTAGGCTAAATAATTATTTAATCATGATACAATTTTAGGAATACAGAGCTGATTTTTTTCACATGATACCTAATAACATTCCTGATAACTTTTATTGTTATGTAATTTCTTGGAAAGCTGATTGTTTCAGAAAAAAAATTTTAGTTTTTTTTTTTGTTTGGAGAAATAAACATTTTATTTTTTTATCTCGAATTGTAGAAAAATGTAATGTGTGGTTTATTTACAGTATAAGTCCAATCATTCTCTATCAAGAAAAAAACAATCCATCAGCAGGTACTTGCGGCTTTACGAGTAAAAAGATGTCAAATGTTAGATTTGTTATTTATTAAAAAATAAAACACAATATACTAGTTTCTACTTAACTTTCGTGTTATTGTTATAACGCTCTGTGTAATTTAGCACTAAAATTAAATTTTCTTTAGTCGAAGCTCATGTATTTTGTTAAAAAAGTACATAAAAGAGTTAGCAATTTTGCCGCACCTCTACTTACAAAGCCGCAAGTACATGCAGACGGATTATTTTTTTCTACATAGAAAATGATTGGAACTATACTGTAAGTAACCCACGCACACTACATTTTCGTATATTTTGAGATAAAGAACAAAATGTATATTTCTCCACAAAAAAAATAATATTTTTTTTCTCTGAAACTATCAACTTTTCAAGAAATCATACAAGAATAAAAGTTGTTAGGAGTGTTATTGTCTATCACATAAAAAAATTAGCTCGATACTCCACAAGTTATTCCTATGTCCAAGAATTATCAATTTGGGCCCACTGTGCGCCACCGCAAACGGATGACAATTTAGACTTCCTTTAGGTTATACTATATTGCTCAGATTTTTATAGATACTTCCAAGTATTCTTTTATTTTGTTTAGGATTTGCGCCATCTAACTATATTCGCAAGCGTTACGTTATTAATTAGTTAACAACGAACAATGCCATCTATTGATACGCATAAATATCGAAGTTCAGAGAATAATTTTAGTTTATTACTAAATATTTGAAAAACATTACAAGAAAAATAGAATATCTACTATATTTCCTATAAAAGAGGAGTTAATCGATATCCACGGCCATTTACGTAAATATAAACTAATTCCAGGCTATCGATCAGCGCCATCTAGAAATAAGACGGAATTTTGACCTTTTTCAGAGCTACGATTTTTAATATGGAGATTAGCAGTCCTCTTGGGTTATTGGTCCATGGTGGCAGTCATTGCCTCGGCGTGCCATGGTAACCATTCGGCCACGGAGGCAGTAAATTAGTAGTAATTTGAAGGCTCAAAATGGGCTTGATGTGGAACATAAATTTTAATAGATATAAGTAGAGTTTTACGTTTTAAGCTATCTTATCGTATTATAATCCAAATAAATACTAAAGATAATCCTTTATTTGTTTTAGTTTTATTTGGTATGCCAACGTCCGATCATCGATGAACGGGAGCAGCGTCGATTTTTTCGAAAGTCTCATCGAAGAAGACGGTCGCTTCGCAGAGTTGAACTGGCATGAACCCACGCTGAGGAACGTTCAAGGACAAGGACAGCTGTCGCAGCAACGGACACAACGGGCTCGGGCCCAGTCAATCGATCGTCCAGGTAAGACAAAGTATAACAAGAAAAACACCATACAACACACAAAACAACGCTAAAAAAACATTTCTTACTTTTTGAACGAATATATCCAATTAAATTTCCGAACGTAAATGACATTTGCCATGCACCCTCCCTCCGCCTCGCCACCTGCCTGCCTCAGTCCGTCAAACAAAATGGCTGACGTTAAGGCGTAGAAGTTCGCGGCCCAAATGTTTGCATTACGATTTTAAAATATTGTGAACGCACTTGTTCATTATGTCGAATTTGTGTTCGAGAATTGTTTCAAAACCTCCGAAAAGACTTCAGGAGGGTAGGGACAGTATGTCTGTCGCACAAACGAACGCTTGGATGAATGGTGAGCTTTGGCATTTCTGTAAATATTGATTTTATGAGGTCCACTGTTTGAACGACGTAATATGGGTCAAACAAAGGTTAATTGAAAGATTTTTATACACTTGGATGTTATTACGAGTCATTACTACGGTACCAATGGCTGACAAATTGATTTCAACTCATAATTTTAGTTGGCGCGTGTTCAGATGTGTTGTCCATATGGTACCTACCTTGAGCTCTGTTTGAAATGTCTGTGATAAAGATAATTTCATTGCGACAGCAAATACTGCGACAGAATTTATTTTAGTCAGTTGGCAGGCAGAACTATAGCTGTTACTACACTTTACTAATGGAAGTGAAAAATTCTATTTCAGCTGAGAACATAAACAATGGTGGTGGTTTATCATTGTCCCCGCCTCACACGATATCGCAACGCGAGACAGGTACTCAAGTGTCGCAGTGCTACAGCGGGCCACCTTCGCCCTGCGGGACCTCGTCTAATACCCCCTCTCCCACCGCATCACCCGCGCCGCCGGCGGGGTCGGCTACTCTCGATCCCAACTGGCAGGCAACAAAACCTACAGTCCGCGAAAGAAATGCAGCTATGTTCAATAACCAACTTATGGCCGACATCACTTTTGTTGTTGGTAGTCCAGGTGAGAAACTTTTTATTGTGCATATAAGGTTTCTTATTGGCCATCACAAATTTAGCCAATTGCTTCCAATTATACATAAATATTATGCAATTTATTGAAAATAAACTTATCAAAATGCTTCTTGTTACTTTCAGGACACACCCAAGTGATACCGGCACACAAATATGTCTTAGCAACAGGCAGCTCAGTATTCTATGCAATGTTTTATGGAGGGCTGGCAGAGTGCAAGCAAGAAATTGAAGTACCAGATGTCGAGCCTTCTGCATTTCTCACATTACTCAAGTACATTCTCATTGTACTTATTATTGAAGTACTTTATTAAGACAGTTTTTATAATCCTAAAATTCATATTCCAGATATTTATACTGTGATGAAATCCAACTTGAAGCAGACACTGTATTGTCAACATTATATGTTGCAAAGAAGTACATTGTCCCACATCTAGCAAGAGCTTGTGTTAATTTCTTGGAAACTAGTCTTACTGCAAAAAACGCATGCCTGCTCCTCAGCCAGTCAAGATTATTTGAGGAGCCAGACCTCATGCAGAGGTGCTGGGAAGTAATAGATGCTCAGGTATGTGAGTCTACAGAAAACCTTGCGACAATCTGCCTTGAACCATCCTCTTCCTATAGTAGTCTACTTATGGAACTATCAGAATCATCCAGTCGGAATCTGTCTAGTCCAGAAAGCTAAGAAAGCATTGAAAATTTATACAATTGCATTTACAATATAGTCAAGTTGATGTACATTGTGCCATGATAAAAATGTATGTTGTACATTCAAAATTTTTTGGTTGTGATATAGATAAAATTATCAATTAAGGCATTTCCCAAAGCGTTGTACAATTGCTACATTCCAATAGTTTTCACTTGTACAATAATACTCCTAACTGCAATACAGTTTGATGTTTAGAATGATGTTGTTTGCATGTGTTGTACCATTGTCGAGCATGACTGTGAATATGTTAATTTGTATAACATATCCTATTGTATGAAAGATCTGAATAAAACATTATACAAATTGTATTGCAGTTTTACTTTATTAACATCCATTTCTATATCTTTGTAGGCTGAAATGGCCCTCACGTCTGAAGGATTTGTTGACATAGATGTATCAACGTTAGAATCAGTATTAGCAAGAGAGACACTCAATTGTAAAGAGATAAATCTGTTTGAAGCGGCTTTAGCTTGGGCTCAAGCAGAATGCTTGCGGAGAGACATTGAGCCCACACCAACCAATAAAAGAGTCATGCTCGGCAGTACTATATACCTAATTAGATTTCCAACAATGTCTCTGGAGGAGTTTGCAAACAGTGCGGCACAACTCGGTATTTTAACCCCTCAAGAGACTATCGATATATTCCTGCATTTCACTGCTGCTGCCAAACCGCAATTATCTTATCCAATAAAGTCCAGAGCAGGACTGAAAGCACAGGTAATTGTACCAATTTTTTATGAGGTATGTTAGAACCTTCATAAGTAAATATTCGCAAATAATGACACGGTGTCATGTTATCATCAAAAATGTAAGTCAAAAAGTTTAGCATTACAACATAAAATAAAGTTTAAATCATGCAGTTCTGAGTTTTCAAAGTTGTAATATTGATACATTTTCAATTTCAGATTTGCCACAGGTTCCAGTCTTGTGCATACAGGAGTAATCAATGGAGATACCGTGGTAGATGTGACTCTATTCAATTCTGTGTTGACAAGAGAATCTTTGTTGTTGGCTTTGGACTGTATGGCTCATCAAATGGAGCAGCTGATTACAATGTTAAGATAGAACTTAAAAGATTGGGCAGAGTTCTAGCAGAGAACAATACAAAATTCTTCTCTGATGGCTCAAGCAATACTTTCCATGTGTATTTCGAGAATCCTATACAAATTGAACCAGAATGCTTTTATACAGCATCAGCTATATTGGACGGGAGCGAGTTAAGTTATTTTGGACAAGAAGGTTTGAGTGAAGTTTATATGGGAACTGTGACATTCCAGTTTCACTGTTCATCTGAAAGTACTAATGGAACAGGAGTGCAAGGTGGTCAAATTCCTGAGCTGATTTACTATGGGCCTACTGTAAACACTGCTTTGACAAATTCCAATTCTGATGACTGACAAATGACAAGATCGCGCCCTTTCAATTATTATTCTGTATAAGAGAAAACAAAATATATGGAATTGATAGTCTCAATTATATGAAGAGTAACTTTGGCTAAATTAAGATGCTTACCATTCCCTAACGTTTAAATTGTTTTGTTGAAAATTAAAGTTCTTGTGTACATTGTTGACTTGTTCAAAGTTAAGGTATATTACAAATGTGATATGGATGTTGTAAGCTCTCTAGAAATAGTAGATTTAAAATCCATACCATGCAATAAATATGTGGAGTACTTTAAAATTGTGTTTTATTCACTTCTATGTGTCGAAATAGGGTCAGACAGTATGCAACATCTGCAGCTGTACAAATAGTATGCATTATTACTAGCGTCACCGTAAAGAAGTATATACATTTTACTAGCAACTAGTCTTGTTTTAGATATAGACGTTGGTCATATAGGTTCCCAAGCTTTTTGACTCGCCGCCTACTTAGGCAAGATAAAAAATTCGATGCCCACCACCACAAAAAATAATTGAAGGCAAAATAAAAAATTTCGACGCCCACCACCACAAAAATAATTGAAAGCACATTTTTTTTTTATTACCTTATCACAAAAAAAAAGTTTATATGTATAGATAATTGAGGTTTGTTTCTTTTCTAATGCGGTAGCCTTGACAGCATTAACGCCCCCCAATTGCATCAGAGGCCCCTACCCCTAGGACTCTTCAGTGCCAACTGGGGGGTTTCAAGGACCACTTAGGAAAAGTATGATCATGATATTATTATTACCCAAATATGCGTTATTTATTACATAAATGAAAGTAACAGCATCTTCTATTCTAATCTATAAAATATGCACATGGATTCCTAGCAACATTGTCAAAATAAATTTGCTGTATTTTTTAAACAAAGGAGCAACTAATTCAGTAGTTTTGTGACTATGTCCCATCAAATCACGACTTTTCGAGATGCTGCTTTCCATATTGAAGAAGAATGGTGACATTTTTCTATTGTAGCGTGGAGACTTAAAACATCCCGGTCGACTTGAATCAAATCTTCTGATACTTCGCCATTAAAACGGACTAAATCACGACTCTACATTACTAGTCAAATTATAAATATTTGATTATGGTGACCCTGCAATCAGATGGTGTACAAGTAACAACTTTTAAATAAATGTTAATTTAATGTCTGTTTTACGTTAATTTAATGTATTTGTCATATAATTAGAACCAGTAATGCTTTTTATTATAGGACAAAAGTATTATTATTTTGTAAATACTGTTGAAAAAAATATACGAGAGCAGAAAACATCATTTCTTTTTATAAAACCAAGTAATGGGATGAACAAGTGCACCTGGTGGTAAGCGACACGTCTATCCATATCGGCTGCAGTGCTTTAAATTGCAAAGATCTGATGGGCGCTGTCACTGCGCCCGTCATCCAGAGACATAAGTTGACAAGTCCTATGTGCCTGTAATTTCACTAGCACCCGTACCCGTCCAAACCAGAATGAAGTAAGGCTTACATTACTGCTAATAGGTACGGTGGCAGTAGTTTCCTGGATGAACTCTTTCACAAGGAGCTCTACTGCTACTAAAGTCATGACGAAACCTGCACCAGCCTGGGCCATCGTGGCGGACTATGGCCTAAACTCTCGCCTGAGAGAGATACGTGCCCAGCAGTGGGACGTATAGATAGGTTGATGATGAGTAATTATTTCAAACATCATATTTATTATATTTTTGTATTTAATAGTGGATTATTTGTGCCATTGATACATTAATTTTGTTTGTCATGTTCAATTATGTATATGACAGGCCATGGCAAAATAACAGTGAGCCTGCAGATGCGAAGTGGCAAACTTGGGAAATAAAGCCATTTTTTTCATTTGTTTACAGACAATGTAGTATATTAATTCTGTAAACAAGTCAGTTTGCTACCTTTCGAGATACATAAGACATAAAGACTAAATAGTAATAGAAATTTTTGGACCAACAATCTATAAACTGCATTCAGAGAAGTTCACAGTATGTCAATGAAATTAATGGTGATTACTGCTTTTTGATCTCCATTAGCTGTAAAAAGAGAATAAATGCACTGACCTGTAGGTGGAATATTGATGCACAGAGTTCTTGAAAGTTTAAAGTAAGTGCGGCCCAGCTGATAGCAACATATTTGAAGAGCATCGCTGATATCTATCAAGAGGTCTGATTATTATAGATAAGGAAATATAAACTACATAATTAATAGGTTATCATTGTGATTGCGAAAAATAACATCCTGTATTAGTAACAGAAAGTGAAGTCAAACTGGTATTGAGTTTAGACTAAAATCTACTAAGTTCATTAATTTTTCTTATGATACGAAGTGATGGGATGAACAAGTCGCACGCCTGATGGAAGCCACATGACTGTCCTTAACAGTTGCAGTGCCACTCAGAGCTTTAAATCGCAAAGATCTGAGGTGCACTGCCACTGCACCCATCACCCTGAGACAGTTGAAAAGTTCCATAAATATTTATTTATTATTTGACGACTTCTCTGGCCTAGCAGCTAGCATTGTGGACACTAGGTGAGGAGGTTCCGAGTTCGATTCTCGATAGATCCAATTTGGGAAACAAATTTTTCTAAACAAGTTCTGGCCTTGGTGATTCTGTGTCATGCATCAGACTTTTTTGCTCTTGACTCAGAATTTGTTGGTCTTGTGCTAATAGTATAGGGTTACTGGTTCAAAATTTAACAAGTAGTTTAACACAAGTTTTTGGTAAGTTAATAAGAGAATGTGATAGAAGATATTCGCACTGCTGCTACAATAGTGTTGTAATTCAAAATATCGACTGTGAACTGGCAATCGGTACTATCTCAACTTTACAGATGAAGAAAAATATTGTAAGAAACAATTAAAAGATTTCTACTTAACTCAAAATGAAACAAACTTAGTTCTGGACAAAAAGTTCTGTATTGAAAATTATTGTTTTCCTTTTATTTTTAAACATATTTGGCGAGTAGGAAATTGTTTACATAATATCTGTAATAAATTTCAATAATTTTTCACGGAAAACGTGTAATTTGTTTTTCTTCTTACGGTAATTACTAAACCTTTGTTTACATACCTGTAATAAATTTTTATAATTTTTCACGGAAAATATGTAATTCATTTTTTTCCTTATGGTAATTACTAAAACCTTTGCCAAATTTTTTTTTATTTGCAACCATAGCATTTGTCGACTTACTCGTTGTCATTCTTGTCTAAATAATATAAAATTGTAAACTTAAGTTTTCTAGTGAAAAACGTTCTAAATTCTAAACAATAACTCTTATTTGCTCTACAAAAATAATAATAACATTTTCATCAATTGTGAAAATATATTCATTTTGAGTTATAACATTATTTATTATATTAACAGTGCAATAATATATGATTATTATATACATTATGTTAATAGATATTGTTCCATATGTAGTGTAGTTATTTACTATTATTATAAGATATTCTTTGGTTGCTCACCACTCACAGAATAATAAATACAGTAGAAATGCTTAGTTTGCGTGACACGTATGCTAACAATACTAAAGTTCCATATACTTTAGCTAGCTCGCCGAGTTATGGTTGTGTCAATAATTATCTCGAGTATAACCACAACAATGCCTTATTTTGCTACTTTGTTGGAGTACAGTGCAAAAATGATAGTCGCACTTGTAATATTATCTACAGTCGTGTTTCATATCATTGTTAAGTCTTATTTAATTTTAATAAATTTTCAATTTTCTGTTTAACATAAACATTTTTTTGTTACCAAAAACGAAAGTAAACTTTACAGCGCTGCAATATGGTTGTTTCTTTTTGGAGAACGAAGTAAACATCTCGAATTTGTTGTAGTTCAAATATTAACAGTTAGATGGCAGCACATTAATTAAAATTATTGTCATTTTAGTGCGGCACCAATTAGCACAAACTACGCGGTACAGTGCCTGAGTGTACAACAACAAACTCACTCAAAATAAAAACATGCTCTGTAAGATCTGCCTATAAAGTAACCAAAAAGCAATACTTGCAATATATTCCCAGAATGTTATACATTATCTGTAATCGTATGGTTACAGAGTGTTAAGAAAATGTATGGTGCTATGAGAGAAAAAATATACAAGTAAATGGTTAAATAGCATTTTCAAAAGGATACGAGGTGTGCCCTCAGTTCTACAAGTCATATAGACACAAGCTGCCTGTGTGTGATTTGCAGGTCGCCCTATGGTGAGATGTCTTGACAATGCCATCTTGAAGAAGTTGCATGCTATGTCTATACACTGCTGATTCAAACGTAGCTGCTGGCAGAGAGAGGTGATACCGTCTCTTGCTTTACGAAGTGTTACTTCTCTTGATTCTTGACCGATACCCGCATTGAATGCTGTGAACAATATTTGAAGTTTACATATACAAATTTTATTAAGATGTAACTCCTACTGACAATATTTATTGAATATCATTGTGTTTTTACTAATACAATATTCATATGTTTTTTATGAAAATACTCCATTAGCCTGTAAGGCCTGCTGATTCATTCCATAGTTCAGTCTATTGACAGCCCTGGAGCGCCAAGATCACGGATCAAATAATATATTAAAAAATATATATATAAAAAAAGGTTAGTTATCTTAAAACAAATCAACATATAGCAATACAAACAACACAGAATTATACCAACCCAAATTTTTCAAAACAAAATTTATTGCTTGCCCAGCCTAGGCAATTTCGTTATGTGTGCATTTTCATATAAAAAAAATTGTATTGCCAAAGCAAAATTATAATTACATCATAAGTTCTATACTTATCAAGGAAAATAAAGGATATTACCTGTTAAAATAATAAATAGGCCAATGGCTTAAATCTTTCTCCCAGTGACCAATGCCCAGCATTGGGATAAGTAATGGTTTGATGATGTGTACATGGTGTGTGTTTGTGTATAGTGCGTGCTTGTGTGTGGGTATATATTACTTACCTCTTCCGAACCCAGTAGCGCCGCCCTTAGATTCCGCAGATACGAACTGTCCAATCGCCGAGGCGCCTCCATGAGCATTCTCCTGGAACTCTACCTCCGCAACAATAATATTATCTTCCAGAACAGTTCCGCAGTTCGTACAAACTGCATCACCGCGAGCTGGGTCCACCTCGATTTCTGATGACCCACAGTGCTTGCATTTCTTCCCCGACATTCTATATACACAAATAATAAGAGGAAAACATCACATGTTTCGTCCATGATTTGGAAAGTACGGTAATGCCATCAGTACTAACTAAAATCATTTACCTTAGCTGTATTTTAAAGCAATGAGATCAATGTGATTTTGAATTACGAGATTCTACGTTAAGTTTATCAGTACATACTACTTTCGGCAAAATATTGCATTATTATTCCGTATAAAACTTTTGTACCAGACTTAATAACCATTGACATTGACAATGACAGGTATTCCAATTGAATTACTTCTAGTGCGGTCGTGCTTATTTTCGTTCGAAAATTTGTCTGCGTATTATTTAAGTAGGGCAAAAACTCAAGTTAGTTTTTATTACTTCTTTATAATTCTTAAACATTGTAGAGGTAGGTAGTACTAATTTCGCTGGTTGATAGAAAATGTTTGAAACATTTTCTATGCGCAGTGATAGAAAATGTTTGAAACATTTTCTATCACTGCACAGCACTGGCTATGAAGTCTTAAAAATAACAAAGAATTCAGAAATTCCAAATGTCCTCGTAAAACTCAAAATTGCATTAAAATTAACACTAAATATGCTTAAAATGTGTAAATTTAATGGTTTCTTTAGTTAGCTGTGCTATGTTATTTATCTCGAGGCATATTAAAAATAATATGAGTTTTTGAACAGAAAAGACACACTAAACAAATAAGTGTTTCTCTTTCTTTAAATACGCATTGCTTTAAAATCACAAATGTTAATTATGTCATGCCTCGTTGGTATCTGCAGAAAATATTTAGTAAATTAAAATAATAATAATCATGTTTCATACATAATATCATAGATGATGGTATAATGATTTAAAGTAGTAAAGTTATGAAACCGGAGTACGGAAAATGATTCAAATACGTTTTATTTACAAAGTAAATTCTTCATCTTTTTCTATAATAATCGTATACTTGATAGAACATAATATCACAGTCCATCCCTCAGATACACTGACTGCGACGAGATATATAAGAGATTTAAGAATTAGATTCTAGGTTGAATTATTTCTATCATTGAATTGAACTGAAATGATAACTGTAAAGTTAGTAAGTAGGCTTCACTGAACGATACTTTTCCAAAAAATTGAGACGTCACTATCAACCGTGCTCTTATTGGCTGAATATCACGCCATTGTCTAAAAATAGATGGGTGAGGTCACCCCTTCAGTTTGTTGAACGTAAACAACGGACTCAAAAAGTCTTTGCCGCAAAGAAAAACGTGGCAGTTAAGTCATTTAGCAAATTGACTCTCCGAGGAATGCTGAGGAGAAGGGCAACCCCAAATTCAAAGAGAAGCTACGTCATCGCACAAACTGATGATGATGAGTCATCATTGTTGTGCTCCTGTTCATGAATTATCTTTTTCATTATTTTGATTGCGTTGCTGTCATGATTGGAGTTGACAGATAGAATAATTTGCAAAGTGTTTGGAATCTCTGAACTGCGACAGACGTTTTATAACCTTAAATATTGTGATATTTCACTATCGGTTGTTGAACAATTACGTAAATTATAATATAGTGTATCGAGTGGTTGTGAAAAAACTGATGACGATGAAGCTGGAGATAAGCGATGGCCAGTCCAACCATTCAGATTTCTCTAGTGATAGCCAGTCTTCGCAAGGTTCCAGCACAAATGACTTCGTATCCTCGGTGCCAACTTCGAGAGCCACTCTCTCGGTAAGTTTACAGGACATTATATTTGACACTAATAGTTCTAAATTCAAACCACTTTTGAATTTGGAATTCCTCTTTAAAATGTTTAGTTAGATGGTAGTAGGTAGTTTGATGACCTTGTAGTGTAGTTTTTTTTATCGAGTACAAAGTTCATCTACTCAGCATGTTATGAAAATTATAACAACGCATATTACGGAATTACTATGTGAAGATTAAAACCTGCCCAGCATTCTAGAAACTCATTTCACATACACAATTTAGGCAAATTTGTTTATGATGTCATTTTGTTTACAAATTATGCAAAACTTACATACAGCAGTTTATTATAAAACAATAGACTAAATGTCTATGTAGAGTGGTTATAATAAGGCAAGATCTGTTTTGTTATTTTCCAATGCTGAAAAACATCAATTTGTTAAAATTATTTGGCACTAATTACACATGAACCATTCAATGAAGCTATTTAGTATGCAAAAGTATTTTTTCATATTTTTTTATTCCTCGTCTGTTTTCAATAAGTAAAGAAAGCCATTGAAGGTATGTGGTCATATACTTATGCTGCATATTGATAAATAGATAGATAAAATATTAATTCAACTTGGCAACAGCACTTACTAACAACGTAAAAAACTAACAATATTGTTTAATTAATAGAATGCTACTGATAAGGCCCAGTGCAAAATAAATGTCACAGTTGTCTAACACATTGCTATTCTGCCCGATTATTACATGTTAACTAACTTTAATAAGAAAAAAATATTATCTATGTTATATTGTTTTAAAAAATAAATCGAACCCACTTTATTCAGTGCTGTATTAAATTTCTTCATAATATTGATGTAGTTCAGGAAACTTGTTGTTTACAATTGTAGATTTTCCTTATATTTCTTAATTTCATTTTACCTATTCGCAATGAAAAGCAGCAAATGAATGGAACTTTGATTTAGCAATTAAATGCAATTGCTCCTTTTTTTACCTCATGTTGTACTTCATGTGTATTTATTCACTTTGTTATGAGTTTGAGTATTTTTTTAAATAGTGTGCACATACTCGTACTTATACATTAAACCAGTATTGATTAAAAAAAAAATATTTTGTCTATTTCACTTCATTCAATTGCATGTTCATTGAAGTATTCAATCAGAATTGCACAGTTGGTTTCACCAAATTCTTTCCTAATTCAAAATTGTGGAATTGAGAACACACAATTTGAAATTAAAAAAATTACTGAATGAACAATAAACATTTAAATTGTTATTATCATCTCCTATATGTAGTTATAGATATTTAAATATTATTTATAAATAAAAAATCACATTATTTACAACGTGATCGATTCAGTATTTTTTAAATTTTCAAATTGTGTTTCCTCCATTCCACAAGTTTTTGGTTTCATGAGCGAGATCAAAAAATCTAACTTAACAAAATAGATTTGCATGAAAAAAATACATTTGGTAAAATTTGATTGCTACTATGTGTACCACCTTTTGTAAAGCATATAAATTATTAGACAAATCCATAGTCTTTTCGTCAAATCAATATATTCATTTATTCTAAGATGTAGGTGATCAAACCTACCAAATATTGCTAATTAATATCGAGTTCTTAGGTTTTTGTGATTGTTACTCAGAAAATGAAACTATTTTTCTGGATTTAAAATGCATATATTTGTTTTTGAAAATATATGCGACCATGGGACCTGTAAAGGGCCTGAAACGTTGGTTTGTTTGAAAAAACAAATATACGCGATTTAAGTCCGGAAAAATAGTTTCACTTACTATAGAAAAATATACTTCAATTAGAAAATAATTAGCACAGTTCAAAAATGTTATCAGAACCTACCATGTCAAAGCGATGACTAAGTGTCTAAATTTATCACAAAGCTAGTGACTAACTGGTCTTAGGAAGTTCCTTATCAGATAACAAATTTGCTATCAGTATTCATATCTGAGACAAACATAGTATATTTTCTGCTTCTTAGAAGTAAGTAGTATGATGGCATTGACTTTTTGTAACACTTACAGGTATGAAGTTATGTATTAGCAACTGTTTATAGCAATAAAAAAAATTGGATCTATTGACCTATATAACAGTAGAGTGATTAATGTCAAAGCCAATATGCCAATTTTTCAAACTTAAACTACCTCTATATGGTAGGTACATAGTTATTAACTTAATTAGGGTACTCCTAAGCTGGCTTTTGCTAAAAACATTATTATTTATGGTACTGAACACCTCTTCTATACACAACAAATCCACTGTTCAGGAGTTTACAGTTTAGCTGCACTGTCTGATATCTTATATACCCATGTCATCTGATCAGCTTGTTTTGTGATCATTTTGATTAATTTCCTGTCTTCGCACTACAGAGTACCAGCCTACAGCAACTTCAATTTCAACAACCATTCACTAACTCCTTGACTCTTTTTCTACTCTGAATAACGTCATTAGAGATTCGGTCTTTTATTATACTACTAAAAAATTGTAACTGTAGCGAGCTATTAAAATTATATAAATGGTTTTATAAATATTTGAAATTAATGACTAAGTTCGCCTTTAACCTCGGTGGCCACCGGTTTACACTGTGGTCGCTGGACCTAGTAGGATCAATTTGGCATATTAACTTTTGTAAATTGTTTCTAGTCTGGGTTTTCTGGGTAGTGCCGCAGAGTTGATTCCGTTGACCTGGTACTCAAAGTACCAGGAATTTCCTAGCTTTCGATCAGGTAATTGGTGTAGTTGTATGGCACACAAAAAAAAAGGGTTGCCCCCTTTTTCTTGCCTAAGAAAACAGTGGGTATAGAGCACAGAATACCTTGAATTCTCAAATTTTTTGTTAATTACTTATAGTTGTGATATCTGCCTACTCCGATGGGAAAAGGGCGTGGGAACTCCTGATGGAAATCAGGGGCGTGAAGTGTATGTATTTAATGTATTACATAAAACATGAATGTAATCTGGAGATAATAATATATTACGATAATTACCATAATTGGTTTCTCTTACCAGTACCTTGTTTTTGTTAAGAGCAACACGTGTTACGCTCTATTATAAATATTATGTGCTTATATAATTTGTTTAACAACTTATTGCCATTGTAAAATATCGTACGGGGTTTTCCAAACTAAGCAAAATTGTTTTTGAAAACTTTACGTTAGCTTTCATAGAGGTAGGTAAATCTTACATCTTTTTTACGTTACAAAGATGCTTAAAAAAAGTTGAAATCTGCAGTATGATTTTTGGTAGTTTCTTCCGCTAACTGTTTTAACCTATATACAATTGCACTGTATACTATAT